CAGGGGGAAGCTCCTGCATTGAGCGTCTGTCCCCTGGTGGTCAGTGTGTGTCATAGTGACCAGTCATTCCCAGTCGCTCTGCTGTTAGGGTCAATTTGCATATTACCCTTTAATTATATAGGATAGAGGCCTGGTGCATGGGTGGGGGCCAGCTGGTTTGCCCTGAAGGGTATCCCAGATCAGGGTGGGGTCCCACTGGGGTGCCTGGCTAGCCTGGGTGAGGGGCTGAGGGCCGTTTTCAGACTGGGCACACCCCCTTCAGGGTGGAGGGTCCTGCTGGGGTTCCTGGCCAGCCTGGGTGAGGGGATGATGGCTGTTTGCATGCTGGCCACAGCCCCCAGCAACCCAAGCTCCCAGTGGAGGCTGGCTGGAAGCAGGTATCTGGGATTTATTTAGCTTCTATAATTGAAACTTTGTTGCCTTTTGCGTAGGCCACAGCCAGCCAGAGCAGGCGGGAAGCTTGGCTTCCTCCATCGTCAGGGCAACCAAGCCTCCTACTTGCTCCAGCTCCGTGGCTGCCAGCCGCCACCTTGATTGGATTAATTTGCATAGTCACTCTGATTGGCTGGTGGGCGTGGCTTGGGCGTAGCAAAGGTATGGTCAATTAGCATATTTGTCTTTAATTAGTATAGAAGTTTTAGACCAAAAAAAAAAAAAGAAAAGAAAGAAATTGGAGTAGTAGGCAGACACACCTTTTATGCCTGGCTCTAAAAATTCATGTCTCTTTTAGGCAGCAGGAAGTTAACCGCTTTTTTTAAAGAAATATATTTTTTGTATTGATTTCAGAGAGGAAGGGATAGGGAGAGATGGAAACATCAATGCTGAGAGAATAATTGATCGGCTGCCTCCTGCATGCCCCCACTGGGGATCGAGCTCGCAACCTGGGCATGTGCCCTTGACTGGAATTGAACCCGGGAACATTCAGTCCACAGGCCGACACTCTATCCACTGAGCCAAACCAGCTAGGGAGAGTTAACCTTTTTTAAACAATGAAATAACATGATCATATTTGGGTTTAGAAAGTCATTCTGGCAGAGGTGTAGAGGATGGATAAAGTGGGAGTAGTTAAAGGTCAGAAGACCATTAGGAAGTCTTTTATAGTTAGATGAGAACTGATGAAAGTCTGAACTAAATGATGAGAATCTAAGTCCACGGCAATTAAACCAACAGCAAGAATTTATAAAAGATTCTTTCAAAAAAGAATAGGTACAAATAACCCACGTCATTAAAATTAGTACCTTGAGAGGCTCTCATGAGCTCCACCATCTGATCTTTATGTTGTTCTAGCTGTCTTCGAAGATCCTTCAATCCTTCAAGCCTTGTCAATGGAAGTGCATCATAAACACTTACTGAGAGAAAATGGTTAATTTCCTAAAAGAGAAAATTTGTTAAAAATGGAATTGCTTTTGACATGTATTGGTTAAGTCTGTGAAATAAAGCTTGAAAAAAAAAATTAGTAAGTGCCTTTTATAGACACTGACTCATCTCACTATTACTACCAAACAAGTTAGAAGTAAATTGTTTCCTCTATTTCAAACCCTATAATGTTTTAATTTAAGTTCTAATAGATTCCCTCACGATATAACAGTTAGATTGCAAGATTATAGCATACTCAATTGGAAAAGAAAGCTTAAATTTCTATTCACTTAGTACTGTAACTAGTTTTAGACCTTAATATATTTACCTATATTTTCATATTGATATATAGCAAAATACAGAGCATCATTTTTAAATTATAATGAGATTTATAAGGAAAAATGTATCTGGACATACTTTTGAAGTTTATAAAGATTAAGACAGAACTACAATTTGGAAAACTCTTTAATTCAAACATTAAATTGTCCCTCAAAGAATCAGGCAGTAATTTTGAGATATTAATAGAGTTTATGCACATGGAATACTATGCTGCTGTAAAAAGAAGGAATTCTTATCATTTGCAACAGCATGAATAGAACTGGGAGCATTATGCTAAGTGAAATAAGCCAGTCAATGAAAGAAAAATACCACATGATCTCACTCATTTATGGATAATAAAGACCATTCTAAACTAATGAACAAAAATAGATACAGAGGCAGAGCAGCATCAAACAGACTGTCAAACTACAGCGGGAAGGCCAGGGAGGGTTGGGGGGGTGGGTAAGAGATTAACTGAAGGACTTGTATGCATGCATATAAGCATAACCAATAGACACAAGACACTGGGGGGTAGGGGAGGCCGGGAGAAGGTCAAGGGGGAAGAAAAGGAGACATATGTACTACTCTTTGTAATATTTTAAGCAATAAAACAAAATTTTTTTAAAAAATAGAGTTTATGCATATGAAAATCAAGCATATGTTATATCTCATCAACATTTAAATTAAATGTTTACAAAAAAACTTTCATATTTATACTTTCATTGCAATGCAAGAGGATATATTAAGATTCAGTTTTTATTTTAGAGGTTTGTTCTCATGCTATATTTTTATCATAATTTTTTAAAAACATTCAGTTTTTCACATTTAAAGCATTATAGGTTTTCAAAAGGTACTACTGTCTATCCTTTCTAATATAAAATAGTTAGATGATGGAATAATTATTACCTCCAAGAGTGAAAAGGGTCCTCTACTGTACTTGATTTTCTGTTGAGTAATACGCAAATCCTTAAAGACAATATGGTCGGGAAAAGGATCTAAAAGTTTAATCATCATATAGAGGTTTTCATTGTCCTTGTTATCTATCACTAAGTATTTCAACAAGTCCAATACCTAAACATAATTTAAAAAAAAAAATGAAAGGGGACAAATGACTTAATTATAGTTTAAAGTAAAATAACCAAACCCATTGTAATAAATAACAACTTTGCTAACCTAATTCAGATAAACTATCCTAATTACTTCTAAGGAACCCAGCTATTTCCATGCTTTAAAGTAATTCAATAAACCATTAAAGTGCTGTCAAATAATTCAACAAACCATTGAAGTATTTCTACAGGATGGGCCCTGAAGTATAAAAATGCCAATATTACAGAAACATTTTATATAAGTAACTAGAGGCCTAGTGCACGAAATTCATGCACTTGGGGGGGGCGGGGTCCCTCTACCAGGCCTGCACCCTCTCGCAGTCCGGGAGCCCTCGGGGGGTGTCTGACTGCTGTGACCCCGGCTTCTGGCTGAGTGGCGCTCCCCCTGTGGGAGCGCACTGACCACCAAGGGGCAGCTCCTGTGGTGAGCGTCTGCCCCCTGATGGTCAGTGAACGTCATAGCGACCAGTCATTTCATCATTCAGTTGATTTGCATATTAGCCTTTTATTATATAGGATTTTCATTAAAATTAAGAATTATACCAAGTAAACATGAAATATTCAGCTCCTTTAAAGAATAATTTATACATGTAATTCAAATATCATTTAGAAAATGGTTTATGAAATTACCTGCTCCTGAATTTCCATCTGACTATCCACAAGGGGTATCAGTGTACCAACAATAACATGAAGATGATTTTCTAAAGCATCCTTACAGCAAGTCACTGCAGTGCGGCAAATGTGGCTTAACAGATCACAACAAAGGGAGAAGCTACGCAATGACACATCCATAAAACGAGAAGGCCTGTTATGGGGGGGGAAACAGTTAAGTTCTAGGCAACTAGTTTGATATAAACTCATTCTATCGTCATTTTTAGTCAGCAGCTCAAATTATGTTATGGCTTAACATAAAAGCCACTTTCATATCCAAATCCTTAAACCAAAAAAGAGAAGTGGCATCAGAAAAATGGTGGAGTAGGCAGCTCCAATCTCTCCTGAGACACTGAAAAACAAGAACTATGAGTTTGTTTCTGTTTTATTTGTTCATTTGTTAGATTTCACATATAAGTGAAATCATATATTTGTCTTCTTCTGTCTGACTTATTTCACTTAGTATAATACCCTCTAGGTTCATCTATGTTGTCACAAATAGCAAGATTTCATTCTTTTTTACAGCTGAGTAAGGTTCCTGTGTGTGTGTGTGTGTGTGTGTGTGTGTGTGTGTGTGTGTACTCCACACTGTCTTTGTCTAGTCATCTATTGGTGGGCACTTAGGTTGTTTCTATATCTTGGCTATTGGAAATAATGCTGTAATGAATATAGGGATGGATATATCTTTTCAAATTACTGTTTTGGATTTTTTCAGATATTCAGAAGTGGAATTGCAGGATCATAAGGCATTTCTATTTTGAATTTTTTAAGGAACCTCCACACTGTTTTCCATTGTAGCTGCACCAATTTAAAATTCCCACTAACAGAAACAAACTCATAGATACAGAGAACAAATTGGTGGTGGCCAGATGGAATGGATAATAGAGGAATGGGTGAAAAGGTGAAAGGAATTAGGACATACAGATTTCCAGTTATAAAAAGTCATGATGATGTAAGGTGCAGCATAGGAAATATAGTCAATAATACTGCATTACCTTTACTAGTATATTGTAAACCTTTTGTAGTATATTTAATTGTAATATTATATTTAGTAATTTATGTAGTATATTATAAACCCTTTATAGTATATTTATAAATGTCCAATCACTACATTGTACTATGTGAAACTAATGTAATATTGTCTATAAACTGTAATTTTAAAATAAATTTTAAAAAAGTTTAATAAGGAATGCAGCAGTGCCCTAGCCAGTTTGGCTCAGCAGATAGAGCATTGGACTGCGGACTGAAGGGTCCTGGGTTCGATTCTGGTCAAGGGCACATGCCCGGGTTGTGGGCTCAATCCTCAGTAGGAGGTTTGCGGGAGGTAGCCCATCAATTATTCTCTCCCACCAGTGATGTTTCTATCTCTCTCTCTCCCTTTCTCTCTAAAATCAATAAAATATTTTTTTTTAAAAAGAATGTAGCAGCTCTACAGCTTGTCATGAAAAGATCTCCAAGAATAGTATAAAATAAAAACCATTTGTATCAAACAGCCAATTTTTAAAAAAAGAATTTCAGTACTTTGTTAGAACTCTTATAAACAGTCAAAGGTTTACAGCAATCAAACTCTTCACCAAGAAAAAGGCAACCTAAAAACTGCAGCAAAGCTCTTTGGTGATTTTAGTTGCCCTGTCCCACCCTCTCCCCAGGTTGGCCACAGTCTTGAAAACTGCATTCCCCAACTGGTCCTTAGTTCTCCAGAAAGCAGAGCAGACCTCATTCACATATTACTGTGTATGTCTGTTCTAAACCTGTCTGAGAGATATTTGAAGGCTGGAAAAGCTGTGGGCATTGCTTGAAAACATTAAGCTAGCCAACAGCCCACAGCTGCCTGGGACCAAAGATTATTGTTGACACATACAACTGATTGCCTAGGAGGGAGAATTGGGGAGAGAGCTTCCTTGGGATATTAGAGCACTCAGATTCACCATATATTTGGGGAATTTAGGAAGCCACACACATGCCCAAGGTAAGATGCTTGCTCAAAAACTACCTTTGAAGACCATAAGCTTTCACTTTGGGCTAATCCCTAGGCTCAGTGAAAGCCTGGCTAAGGGCTGAGGGAGAGTTCTATCTGCTAATCTACAAAAACTACAAAAGGTTTTTCTCTCTCTCTTTTTCTGGTTCCGGGTATTCAAGGAAATCTCCATCAAAACACTACCTGAACACAAGTTAAGAACAGTCTTCAGTGACCACATATACAAGGAATACATTCTCTGTAAAAATAGTTGAATAAACTCATGAAGCAAATGGACTACTGTAGCCTTCAACAATAACAAAAAAAAAAGTCAAACCCAGGACTATATAAAGAACTGCTAGAGCTCAATGACAAAAAGGCAACATAATTTTTAAAAATGGGGTCAAGATGACAGCATACAAAAAGGTGATACTGGCATCCTCCCACAACCACATCAAAATTAAAACTAAACTATGGAACAACCATAATTCAGAACTGCCTGAGTTCTAGCTCAACAGAAGTCCTACAAATAAGGATATAAATGAAGCCATATTCAGACAGGTAGGAAGGATGAAGACCGGAACCAGCTGGTCCACATAAGGTGTGGACCCATATGTGGGGGTTAAAAATCGGGAAGGACATTTCCACTGCAGAAGAGCAAGGAGTTGCAGACCCACACCAGGTCCCCAGTCCAAGGTCACAGTGCCAGGAAGAGAAGTCCCCGTAACTCCTGACTGTGAAAATCAGTGGAGATTGTAAGACAAAGGGCTGATGGAATCCTAGGAGTCCCACTTAAAGGTACCAGGGACATACTGGGAAGAACTGAATTATCTGGTTTTAGGGATAGGATTGAAGGGGCAGTTTTCTCCTATACAGAAGTGCTGGCAGAGGCCACTGTTCCTTTGCTGAGTCTCCATCCATGTCCTCTCCCCAGTCCCTACCTCCCGGTGATTGCCTGAGGTCCTAACCCACCCAACTTGCAGCCCACCCAAGCCACTTCCAGTGGCTTTTCAATACAAATGGCCTGTCTTGCATCATGCTGTAACCTTTCCTAACATCTCTCAAAGGTTCACAAACCCTAAAAAACACATCTGGCATTAGCATGCCCCATGCCCCTTGCTAACTGGCCCCAGGCCCAGCACTAATGGAAGTGCTCTGCATCAAATTCGACTGGCTGATCCTGAGTTATATCCTCTTTTACAAAAAAAAAACTGGTAATCTAGTGAGTAAAGGGGTTTCTCAAGTTCTATGAGCCAATTGAGCAAACTACTCAGACACAAGGCAGGTGGGGTCATTAGAACCTATAATCTACAGCCAGGTGGTCAGAGGCACAGATGATAACCTGGATTTATCACTGGCATGTGATTGGGGTGGGGGGTAAGGGGAGGAAATCTTATAGAACTGAGAGCCTTTACCAGGGGTCCTCAAACTACGGCCCGCGGGCCACATGCAAATACAAATATTGTATTTGTTCCCGTTTTGGTTTTTTACTTCAAAATAAGATATGTGCAGTGTGCATAAGAATTTGTTCATAGTTTTTTTTAAAACTATAGTCCGGCCCTCCAACGGTCTGAGGGACAGTGAACTGGCCCCCTGTTTAAAAAGTTTGAGGACCCCTGCTTTAACCTCTGGGATCTGACACTGTCTCATCAACATTGAGTTAAATTGTAAGACAGCAGCTGGGTCTGGAGAATTCCTTGGACATGTGTGAAAAACCTCCCCGGCAACCCCCTCCCACCCCCACACACACATTGGAATTGGTGACCAGAACTGCTATGGTAACATATATATTTCAAGCCACCTAAAATTAGAATTTTTATTTTAAAATGTTGAAGACCATTAAAAATTAAGATTTCTAGTACTTAAGGTTTGGAGAAGTAGTAATGCAATTTATTTTTTAAAAAACCAGATAGATATAAATTCAGGAAACAATACTCTGGTGTCTACCTCTTACCAGCATATAAATTTTCAATTAAGATAACAGGGTAGAAAAATACTTCAATCTTGGTCTATATATATTATTTACCTTTTGTTGATATAGTGAATCAAAGTATAAATAACATCTCGAAGAACGAAGGCCCAAGCTCCTCCTAAGCCAGTTTTTATATCTTTCAGTAATAAACTAACAAACAGGTGATATATTTTAAGAATTCTGTGCTTTTTATAAACATTATTTGTTTCTGTGGCTTGTTCACATATGGCTAAAAGAATTTTCTGATAGGAATCCTAGAAAATAAAGATACATTTTAGTAAAAACTTGTCAAATCATATATACTGTGGTATAATAAGTACATTTTGTACTCAAAATTACAAAATTTAGTTTTGGGTCTGATATCAAATGCAAAATATTACATTAAGAAAATTACTATCTTAAACATAAACAACTATTGTCAATTTATTTAATTTTCATACACTATAATTAAATAGCATATTTGCCAAGCTGGTATGGCTCAGTGGTTAGCATCGACCAGAAGGTCACGGTTCGATTCCCAGTCCAGGCACATGCCCAGGTTGCAGGCTTGATGCCCAGTAGGGGGCATGCAGAAGGCAGCTGATCAATGATTCTCTCTCATTTTTAATGTTCCTATCCCTTCCTCTCTCTGAAATCAATAAAAACGTATTTTTTAAAAATTATAGCATTTTTTTAAAAAAATTCTGAGCCAATATATGACTAAAATGTAATAAAAAAATTCAGCCCTCATATGTGACACAATTCAATTAATACTGACAAGTAAAATACCAAGATATAAACTTGTAAATAACTGTTTTTCTTCTTAATTTATTCAGTTGAATTTTCCATTTGTTTACTTTTTTTCTCCTTACAATGTACGTATATAGATTTTCTGGCTGAAAACAAAGGAATTCTCGTCTCAGTTACTATACTACTAATGTATACTTACAGGGCTTTTGGAAAGAATTTCTAAAATGCTTTTAAACTTGGTTTTATGGCAACTGCTGATATAGGCAAATGTTGCTTTAATCACATGCGATGGAAAATGAGGTGGATTAGGAGCAGGATCCAAATCCCTAAGAGTTATAGGAAAAGAGTCATCATTTTCAGAACAAACTAATCAAGAAAAAATAGACTTGTTGACGACCAGTGAAATTCCAGAATAAAAATTTAGATTATAATAACCTCAAATTAAAAAATTATTTCTCTACTGAAAACTACTTCTAATAAAATGACATATCACAGTCTATATTCATCAACCAGAGTATTTACATACCTTTACCTTCTAGGATTTAATCAGTTTTTAAATGATTTGCTTAAAAAATCTTTTATGAAGTTAATGGTGATCCCACAAAAGAGGTTTAATGTCACTCATTCTACTTCAGGTCTGAATTAAAGATCTCTGCTAGTACTATAAACAGAATACTATTTAAGACACAGCAATCAAACATTATCTGTATCACATGAAATTATATATACACACACACACACACACACACACACACACACACACACTCTGGTAGGTGGTATTATTATTTAATATGCCTAGCACTATAGGGCATACCAAAAAAATAAAGGATGCTTTCCAGCCGTTTGCAAAATCAAGCTGGGAAGATAACTAACATTCATGTACAACCAAGTGGGTTTACACGTCCAAATTAAATTGTAGTATAGTAATATTCTGATACCTAAGAAGGGTGATAAAGAAAAGGTGATCTAAAAACGCAAGTCATAGATAAGGAGAGGAGAACATAAAATAAAGTGTCATAAGGAAGAAAATTTGAAGAGACAACCAATGGCACAATGCTCAAATACTACAGAAACAATGAAGAAAAAAGCTCACTGAATTTGCAAACAAACAGGTCAATTAGAAAGAACAGTAATTGCAGCAAGGCTACAGTAGAAGCAGATAGGTAATTACTTCAATTCAAAGGAAGTCATTTTTAAAGAAATAATTTAAAAGCAGAGTATGTTCCTAAAAACTGAAATAGACAATTGAAGGTGTCAACCAATACATTTGCCAATAAACTTCTGAAGTTGCAGCTAATTCTCTAAGTCTAAAATACCCATACCCTGATAAATATATGATGGAAAAAATTAAATTTAATTTAAAAATAAATTAAAATAAAATACCCATACCCTGAAAAGTCACAGAGGTCAGTGCTTTGGTTGGCACCAGCAGTCCCAGGTTCATGTAATGTCATCAGTAACTCTACCACAATCTCTGGTAAATTAGTAATGAATAAATGGTCAATCTGCAAGGACATAAAATTAATTAAGTTTTTATGTCTATGACCTTTAAGACAGCTCAAGGGGCTCATGTTATTGCCTCATTTCCAATATTATCCAGTGACCATAGAAGGAAATAGGTGACCAAAGGTCTATCTGCAAGACATACACCTAACTCCATTTTTTTCTGCTACGCAGCCAACTTATAAACTGAGAGGAAAGTAAAGAAACCGCACCAAACAAGACTCCCTTAATATGACCCCTTAATTTTAAAGAATCATTTTAGTCCAGCTGGCATGGCTCAGTGGTTGAGAGTCGACCTATGAACCAGGAGGTCACAGTTGGACTCCTGGTCAGGGCATATGCACAGGTTGCAGGTTCAGTCCTCAGTGTGGGGTGTGCAGGAGGCAGCCGATTGATGATTCTCTCTCATCATTGATGTTTCTATCTCTCTCTCCGTCTCCCTTTATCTCTCAAATCAATAAAAATATATATATTTTTAAAAATAATCATTTTAATTGATGAAGCCTTCAGGTCTACATTAAATTGCTCAATCTAATCATTTCCTTGACAACTAAATTCCCCACTAATATGTACTGCTCCTCAATCTGCATTTTACTCTTATTTGGGACTGCTATTTCACTAAGAAAACTTTACTAGTAAAAAGTCTCAGTGACTAGCAATAATCATCTCTTTGTTCCCTGCATGACTTCTCCCTTGGTTGATATCCCAAATTCTGAAGCTAGTTGCTACCTACACTTCATCATCAACAATAGACTAAAACCCAACAGGAGCAAACTCTTTGTCAATCACTTCCTACTATAGGTAGCCTTACAAAGAGCATAAATTCTCTACCTCATGGGTCTGCTACCTTGCACCTCAGCCAAATGTATGAAAACTGTGAAAGTCTTGAGGATGAATTTATTAGCTCTCCAAATAAAGAATTATAGTGCTTTGAACTACAGGGCAAATGGCTGATTTATTTGATACACAAGGAGGTTTGAAAATATTTCCTAATATAACAGAAATATTTTTTAATGTGACAAGAAACCTAATGTAAAAATCCTATCCCTTCCCTCTGGCTTACATATCAATTGTCCACATCATCATTTCCAAGGTTTCAGCCCTTATAAAAATACAGCTTCATTTCAAAGTGTATCTATAATGAGTAAGGACAAATTGGCCAATCTAATTAACACCAGATGAAGCATGGCCAGTGTGGTTCAGTGGTTGAGCATCAACCCATGAACCAAGAGGTCCTGGTTCGATGCCATGGACCTCTTGGTTCATGGGTTGATGCTCAAGTAGGGGGCGTGCAGGAGGCAGACAAATGATGTGTAATTCCAGTCAGGGCACTTGGGGGCTTGATCCCAAGTAGGGGGCGTGCAGGAGGCAGACAAATGATGTGTCTCTCTCATCAATGTTTCTATCTCTCTGTCCCTCTCACTTCCTTTCTTTCTAAAAATCAATAAAAAAATATTACAAAAAAATGAGGGAAAATTAATGAATGTTTCCTTGCACATAAGATCCTAACTAACTTCACTAATTTCACTTGATTCTCTAATAAACCAGATAGGTAATCTTAGCTTTAGTATATATAAATTGTTCAGATGTCTAGATATAGCTAAACAATCTCACGGTAAAGATTTTAGGCTTTCAACAATTAACAGTTTTAGAAGATGCAAAGACATAATAGTTGTACCAACACTTACTGACACAAAAAAAAAGAATCTATAAGACTGATTCAGATAAAGCACAAATTAGAGAAACAAAGAAAAAATAACTGATGACAACTTCATGCTAAATTGAGACTAACAAGAATTTTAGTATATTTCTTTTACCAAGAAGCTAAGATATCAAGATTTAATGTCATAACTTTTCCCTCCTAGACTAATTCTGACTGAAAACTGCTATCGTTTGGTCTGAATACATAAAGAGACTAGTAAGATCAGGCCTGCTCAGAAGTCTAAGCTAGGAGATTGGGTGGGAGTGGGTAGAGACAGAGTGTCCCTCATAAATTCCATTACCTCCGGTGTGCCAACATTCTGCTCTGACTGTCACATTTGTCACCAGACTAGACTTACAACCACCTGACTGGCAATGGTCTACCTAAGTAACTTTGAGTCTTGCTGTTCCATTTCTTGGTTCAACATAGATAACTGGGCAACCAAAAAAAAAAAAAAAACCCTCTCAAAGTTCATCCAATTATAATTCTTATGTTAACCAAATTTGGTTAGTCACCATTACTTGCACTGAAAAAAAAAAACTGAACTGACCAATCATCTTTTATCTTAAAAAAAGATTACTAGTGGGACAAAAGTAGGATACAGCTGTGAGTACATGAAACAGTTTATTCTTGTATTATTATTTAATTACTGTACTATTTTCCGTAAGAACAACTGTAACCCTACTTTTGCCACACCCTGTATATGTGTTTTAAGATAAGTTGCCTCAAATAATTTTGAATTTATGTAAAATACTGTAAATCAAAAATTGTTAGATCCTTTTTTACTTGAGTACATCTTATATCAAAAAATGAATATTTTATATATATATACTAAATGGTTAGGATGCATCAGCAAGAAAGAAAAATTCTACCTTCATAGTACTTATAGTAGAGATGATTATAAAAAACAATGAACAGCCCTGGCCGGTTTGGCTCAGTGGATAGAGCCAAAGGTTCCGGGTTCGATTCCGGTCAAGGGCATGTACCTTGGTTGCGGGCACATCCCCAGTTAGGGGGTGTGCAGGAGGCAGCTGGTCGATGTTTCTCTCTCATCGATGTTTCTAACTCTCTATCCCTCTCCCTTCCTCTCTGTAAAAAATCAATAAAATATATATATTTTAAAAAAAAACACAAAAAAACAATGAACATTAATTCCTAAGTAAATGATACCATATGTCAGAAGGTAGTTGTGGAAACAAGGAAGAGGAGGGTATGGAAATTTGGGGTTGTATTTTTCCTTGAAAAGTGAGAGGTTTAATGAGATTAAAAAGGAAATAGGAAGATTCTTCTATACATTGTTCAGTATTGCTTGAACTTAACTTGCATTTATTATTACTGCAAATTATAATAAATTTTAAAAAGAAAAAAAAATTATTCAAAAGTTATTTTTTTAAATATCTGATTAAAAACATTTCATTTAAAAGCCAATCAAACCCAGCTGGTGTAGCTCAGTTGTTGAGCGTTGACCATGAACCAAAAGGTCCCTGGTTTGATTTCCTGTCACGGCACATGCCCAAGTTTCGGGTTCGATCCCCAGTAGGGGCATGCAGAGGCAGCTGATTGTTGATATTTCATCTCTAATCTAAGTTTCTATCTCTATATCTCCCTACCTCTCTCTCTAAAAACATCAATAAAAGCATATTTTTTTAAAAAGCCAATCAAAAGGAGAGAACACTACCACAACAATTCATGGACTGTCTATGCTAGATAGTGATTTCCACATATTAAGTTTAACTTCATAGATAAAGAGGCTTAAAATTTTAAAGTTACATCTCAGATCAATTAGGGGATAAAATGTAAGTAAAAGTTGAAGTCATACCTGTTTTCCTAGTAAGTTTTCATCTTTAAGCATATCATAAACTTTGGTAGCAGTCTCTCTTTGCTGTGCCATCCCACTGTCTCCTATACTCTCATAGGCAAAGTAAGGAAGAATATTAACAAGAATCTTTGGAAAACAGTCTATTAGAAGACACTTCCAATCCTTCTGAATGTGATTAGCAATGGATTTCACCTCATCAAAATCACTTCTGATCACCAGGTGTGGAATCAAAACTTTATAACAAGATCTAAAACATAAAAAATTTAAAAAATGTATTATATATAACTTTTCAAAGTAAAATTTTTATTATAGTTCATAAAATTCTTTAAATAAATATTAGAATACTATTTTATCTATCTGAAGCATTCTTACTGTAATTTTATAAATGGAAAAATGAAGTTAAGTACATTTTAAGTAGTCACATTAAAAAGAATAGAGATCATAGAATATACTATCCTAATTCTATGATAAAAAAAAGTAGAAATTAAATTTATGTTTACTTCTGCATATAAAACTAGAGGCCCAGTGCACAAAATTCGTGTGATCAGGGCCAATCGGGGTCTTCTGGTTGCCAGCAAGGGCCTTCTTTCGTTCCGCAGCACCCCCTGGTGGTCAGCACACATCATAGCGAGCGATCAAACTCTGGTCAGTTGAACTCCCGAGGGGACACTTTGCATATTAGGCTTTATTTATATATATGTAGATGATTGTAAAATGAAATGTGAAAGCAACTTATAAATTCAAAGAATAAATGTGAATATTATTGCCAAACTGAATAAGGACCACTAAACAATAATGAACAGTCTTCCCATCATCCTATGTACACATTACTCTATAGTTGTTTCAAACCTTTCCATCTTCAAAATTTTCTTCTCTACAGTTAGAGTTAGCAAAATAAGTACTTTTACATTAAAATAGAAATAATGACTAAATGTCCTACAGTCACACAACAGAAAACAAAAACAAGGCAGAAATAACCAGTCACTATTAGTTTATCTTTCACTTTTCATAGAAAAGATTACCAAATGTTTAAGCTGAAAAAAACATTAAGATCTCCTTGTGTAACTCTCTTAATTTACAGATTAAAAAAATCAAGCCCCAACGAATGGCTTAATCAAGTCCCTACATGGCTTGTCTAAAGTCACATAGCTGGTAACTGGCACAGCTAGGACCAGATCCAAAGTCCAGGGATTCCCTTCAATACACTTTCATTAAAATAAGCTGTCCTGCTTCTCATACTATAAACCTCCCACATCTGTACATGGGGGGGCTAGAGAATGGGGGGTTAGGGGAGAAGGGCTGGGATTGCCAAACAGTCACCTAATTTTAAGGTAAACATAGTTCACATGTAAACCTACCTATAGAAATCCCCAATGTTTGTGTAGTTTAACAAAATAAAAGGGAAAGCAGATAAGCTGTGTTCAGTATCTTGAAGATTTAGCCATTCCAAAACCAGATAATCCAAGTGAGAAGCCATGAAGTCTTCTAAATGTCTATATCCAAAAGTTTCAGAAACTTTTTCTAAAACCTATACAAATAAAAAAGAAGTCAATGCTTTAAGAAAATAGCAAACCAATGTTATTTAAATCCTTGTTAATATTTACTAACAGTATAACTTTAAGCATTCATTTAACTTTTCTATATCTTGATTTACTCATCTCTAAGATGGGGATAATAAAAGTATCCACTTCAGCAAGACTAAATAAGAAAAATGTACTTAATATAATTAGCACCATGCCTGGCACATAGCAAGTTCTTAATAAATGTTAATAAAAACAGAAAAAGTTGAAATTTTAAACATTTAATTATATTCCAAGGGAAGGTCTAAAGCAGGAATGGGGAATCTTTTTCTGCCAAGGGCCATTTGGATATTTATAACATCATCACGGGCCATACAAAATTATCAACTTAAAAATTGGCCTGCTATATTTGGTCAAACAATCAATTCACTCACACCTCATGCCTTGGTAGGGCCAGACCAAATGATTTCATGGGCCTTATATGGCCCATGGGGCAGAAGTTCCTCACCCCGGGTCTAAAGTAAAATAATTCTTCTTCTCAGTCCTAAACCCAAATGAGAAAATACTAAACACTATATTCCACTTACAATAATAATTAGGTGATGCAATTATATATTTTTTTAAAGCAACTTATCTTAATCCTGAGAAGTAAAAGGTTAACTTGTCTAAGACTGATTACCCACAAGTTGTCCTACTGCAAAGCTCCATGGAAACCAGGTTGTCAGGATGCTGAATGGGATAGCAGGCTACTGAGCTGTCACTCGTTCATCATATAAAAATCTACACTGGAAGGGCTTGGAACTTCCCAAACCATGAATGCTGAGGTAGTGGATCAAGTCAGGAATGAACATTCTACAACACTGTGCTGATGAAACTGCAAGGCTAGACCCTGGTCTTCCTTTCCTAATCATGCAACTTAAAAGTTCTAAAATTTCATGCCTGACTCTGCTAGATCCCAATGCCCTGCCCCAGAATCAACCAGGCAGAACACTCACTACTGCTGTTCTCTCTGTGTTTCAGTCAATAAATGCTATTACAGAAGGCCTGGTCTGCATGACAACAGGTCATTCACCCTTGTTAGTTTAATGAATACCTGTGAAATGTTCTTGAATTGAATGCAAGAAATAATAATAAGGTATACAAATAAATACACTATTTTTCAAACAGATTATTAAAAAATAAAACTGTCTCTAAGTCTTTTGTAAGTGCCACTTTAAAATTCTAGTTTAACTTTTGTTTAAAAGTCACCCAAGGAAGATTATAATAAAAAATATTCATCCACATGTACCTTTTTTATGAGGCGAGGTTCTAATCCATTATCTTTTACAGACTTGCATAGGGCAAACAAAGCTTGTTTTTCACAGACAGGACTACAGTATAAAACCACAGTCATCGTCATCAGTAAAACAGCTTTTCTATTATAAATCTCATCCAAAAGTTCAGGGTTCTCAGCACTGTGGGACTTTATAAATATGTAAATATTACAAATAAACCAGTGAGGATAAAATCAAAGTATACTATGACAACATTTAAGCAGGCAATGAACAGTTTTAAAACCTACAGTGACAAAGCTCAGAGTAGAGATTTGAGAAAATATCAGTTTCTAGAGTGTCAAAGACTGCTTTTGATTATGGAAAGAATTGCTAAACATTTCAGTGATGTATAAAGCACATCAAAGAAAAAAGAGAAATTGCAAGTAGGTGAGAGAGATTAAAAGTTCCTCTTCAACTACCAAGTATACTTCATAAGATGTTTATGATCATTACAACAATATATACTTCTTCATATTTTTAAAAATATTTTCATATCTTTACCAAAAGGAACAATCAAAACATGCAACTAGATAGGATGACATACCCTTCAATAGTTATAATATCCCTACAAATATGTACATTTTTTGATTAGCTATACTTGATAGAAGTTTCTCTTTATATTTGGAAAAAAACTGCCACTCTCTGATGCTAGCTTTGGTTTTTGGTACAAGAAAAAGTAAGGATCTAATTCCTTTACTCAATGGCAATCAACATGCTCAAAAACAGCTATGAGGTCAATGAGCCAACTCCACCTATTCCTTATAAGAGATGGATCTACAGACTCGCTAACATCCTAATTCAAAGTCTACTTTACTTTTACTGAGAGCCAAACTCAACATGCTAGCTGCCCTCTCAAATGTATAGAAGAGCCCTAGCCAGTATGGCTCAGTGGATAGAGCGCCGGCCTGGGGACTGAAGGGTCCCAGGTTTGATTCATCATGAGCACATGCCCAGGTTGTGGGCTCAATTCCCAGCAGGGGGC